ACAATTCAGCAAAACAGACTAAAAGTGTTAAAAAAATCTTTGACAGACCTAGGTTGCTGATGCCTCACATAGGACTGGGAAGCAAAATTATGCTCGCTGAAGTTGTTTCCTCCTATAAGCCGTCCCTGAATGGGATATCACCGATTTTGAGAAAGTAATATCCCCCCATGCTTTCAAATCACTTTTTTTTTTCAAATATAACCACTGGACAGTCTCCACGTAAAAAAAAAAGCAAAAAAAAACAAAGCAAAAAAGCATAGTTATGTTAAAATAGTAAACAGCCCATTATTAACAAATAAGATACTCTCGCCCACAATGAATCAAAAACCTTGGTTAAAAAAAGTTCCTGGACATTTCAAAGCATTCAAATTTTTGTAATTACCTCAGATCTAAAGCAAATTTTGCCAAAAGCACAGGGCTTCTTAATAACTGCATAAAAATTACATTATCAGACAGTGCTAAACTTTAAAAACACAAGCACAAAACTTTTTAGAAAATGAAGCAGGTTGAATCATCTTACAAAAACAACCAAACTTTTTGAGAATAAACACAAATCGGAAAGTTGAAAAATTTGGCTTTTTCTGCATTCACTTTGGTCTTTCTACATCAAAGATCAATTTTAACATGAGCCATATTTTGCAAAATTACAAAAAAAAAACATGAACTAGGCCTTGTTTGAAGCATTCGCTGGACTTGCTGATACTTTAGCAGCTGCTTCAGTGGCTTTCTTCGAAACATCGTTCTCCTTAACTTCACTTCTGTTCGGTTCTTGCTGCTGCTTTTCCCCTTTTGCATCCGACTTCTCCGCAACGCCTGGCAGCCGGGTTGCAATTACCTTTGCCAGAGAAGTGACTTTCAGTTGGTGCTCGGAATGTTCGATGTTCCGAATTTGCTGATGCATGTCCTCCACTTCAAGTCGTGATGGCACTGCACTATCGAAATAGTACTCCTTGAAACCAACGGCGAGCAATGAATGCAGCAGCAAAATGCTCACAATCGTTCCCACAGCAATCTGCAAATAGGCATAAATTTCGGCCACAAGACAGTTCCTATGCTCTCACATCCACAACACCAATATCATCGGCACTGCTGGTTTCTTCAGATGCATTAGTTTCAGTAGCCTATAAAGACATTCCAGCCACAAACACAGGAGACTGCATGTTGGCAATAATACCTTCACATATGTTATTTTTAATATATCTCCCTCTCATTCTTTCACATTTTTTACACCCCATTATCGCTTTATCTGAAAAGTCACAAGTACAAGCCCTCTCCGTAATTTCCTCTTCTGAGAGAAGGCACCGGGAAGCAGTCCATCTGGCAGCATGTGCTAACAGTATCCATCACTCACAAGGTTCACTGTGGTACCCTCTCCCGAAAGCATCTCATAATCAAACAAAATGATGGCAATTTTGACTACACAGCATAAGCTGGCAACAAACAATCAACAGCTTCTTATAGGAAAAAATTTGGAAGGCGCATTTCTGTGCTCACTGCTACAAAATTTTTGTCGATTTTGAGAATGATATCGCCTAAATTCTCTCTTCCGCATTAGCAATAAATTCTACTGTTGCTTCATAGCATCAAAAACAGAGGACTTTTTTGCAGAGAAAGAGAAATATATAGAAAACAAGACCCTGAAAATTTTATTAAATTCTCCCCAAAGTATTTGCTGAAATATCAGTCGAAGAATTGATTAAAGTATTCATCAACAAAAAAAAAACGCTGAAAATATCTCTGTTTTCTATAATTTTGTCCATTAACAGTAAGTTTATTTATATCATCAAATCACAGAAAACTCTTTGGAAACGAAGAGAAGACGTATAAAAATTAAAAGTTTGGAAATTTTAAAAAATCTACCATTCTATTGCGGTCATTTCTGACAGCCGGCCACATACTGTTCGCAAGAACCGAA